ATGAATTATTTCATATAAACTTCACATCAGACTTGACTAACTTGGGGAATAGACAGAGAATAAGTTTTAATTTTGAGCCATTGGAAGAAGAGTTCATTTTAATTACGCGGTAAGAACTACTTATATTCTCGACCAATCAAAGCCGAGCATGCAGGAGTTTCCCAGACATCCAATGATTGATTGATTTTAAAACTGCTTCACCGACGAACAGTTCTCAACCGACGAAAAGTTCACAAAAGATGGTAAAAAAATAAAAAAAAAGTTACTGGACTGATCTTTGTTCGAACACTGAGCAAAGCCTAGCCTCACACCCTCGATAACACCGACTGCGATCTCGACAGGCCCCTGGCAAGTTTTTGACTAGTGCCAGCTGCGTCCATCGTCAGTTTCCGAGAGGAGGAACTGATACTTGTCTTGCCTTTCTTACGAACACGAATCTATAGTTTGGTAACCTCTGTTACAATATACTGACAGAGTGTGTCATTAGTTTTGACTTAAAGCGGGAAATGCAAACTAACGCAATGCGGTGGGTTGTGAGTTTATTCTATGGAAATTTCTGTTGTTGTCTCTGTTGTTTAAGTTGCATGTCAACAGGGTGAAGTCATTCGAAAGTCATGCACGTAATGTTCGACTGAAACGTTTTGGAGTTCTTAGTTTTGCGTTTTCTTGTGTTGTATGCTCAATGAATAGAATCCAAAATGATAGTACAAATGTATCCTCATATATAATCCTAAATCATCGACTTCAAACCGTTATGACGTTGTCTACTCTTTACACGTTTTTTTTTTTCATTTACATTTGCTAAGAAGAAATGATATGTTTACATGTAACAGTAGAGATACGTTTTAAAAACTGTAAATCCGTGCACATAGCAGACCCATAACAGAATCGGAAATACATGTACTTCATAGTTGCGTGACAAACTGGCTTACCTTGCTGCGATGTGTAGCGGAGTGAGATTGTCTTCTCTCGATCGCACGTCGATTCGTGCGCCATGATCTAACAAAGATCTGGCAACGTTGGTTCGATCGTAACGCGCCGCTTGATGAAGCAGAGCGAGTCCGGACTGATCCAACTTGTCGATACCTTTGGAATTTTTCTTCAGTTTCCCGAGTTGTTCGTTAACAAGGTCTACTACTCCATCGCGCACGGCTTCGAACAGGCCGGTGGCTCGAGAAATGATAGGCTTTCCAAGCTCACTCATCTCCAAATTTAGCCTTTCTTTGCTCACAAAAGATTTCTGGCGATCTTCGCCGCCGAGGATAGCATTTCCATTCGGTTCTTCTTCCATTGGTGAAAGCAGGTAATTGCTGCGATAATTATTTCTATATGACATAGTATTCTTCCACAGTTTTGTCGCCAGGGTTGCTGGGAACACTGTCAACAAGTTTGGTACTTAATTATTCTGCGTTCACGAGCACTAGCTTGAACACAAATAGTCGGTCTCATTGTGTAGTTCTACTAATCAACATTCTTATCGTAATTAACATTATGATAATAACCCTTTTCGGTCAGAGGTGTCCCGCGGCGTTTTGTAATCTCGACTTTTTTTCTTTACTAAAACTCA